CTAGGCAATAAAGTGGGCTGGGCTCATGCACGTTGATCTTGCATTGGCGACGTAGGAGGAGGTCCATTTGTGAAACACAAATTTAATTTATATATACCACATGATAGTACATAAGATATTCGTAATTTGTATATACAGACATATAGACTGAACTTATTATACACACACACACTAAACTTAATTAATTTGTATGTACATATACATAAAATATATGCTACATATATATGGAAGATGGCATTATAAGATGTACGTATATTATACATGGGAGAGGACCATGTATATATCTTATTATATAAGACGTAGTAGAGCCAGGGGGAGGGGGAGCCATGGCCTGTCCTTCCTCCTTGAGGGGGAGCTATGATTGATTCTTATTTAAGAATTTTTTAGAAGGGAGAGACAGATGACCCATATATAAAAATACGCCTCGGACTCATGCTGATCATGCGCCTCTATATACACATATATACATAATTTTGATAAATAAATATATATAGCTAATAAATAGAACCCATTTGAATCTACCTACGGACGTGTATATATATATGTATTGTGCATAATACTTCTCTTACCAGAACTTCAGAGAGAGAGAGAGAGAGAGAGAGAGAGAGAGAGAGCGAGATGGTAAAAGCAAACATGGAATGTTCATTCCCTATGAATGGTGGAGATGGTACTTACAGCTACACCAAAAATTCCCACTATCAGGTATGTATACATGACTGAGACCACTTTATATATAATTCACATTATACATCTACTTTCTACTTGTTATATAACTTGCAAAATATGCATGGAGCATCATTTTCTTTGTTACCCTTATCATGTTTGGATGAATGCAGAGTGCACCCACCACTGTTAGTCTATATATAGAGACATATATTGCCTATGTGTGTGTATGGTTAATTTCATATGGTTTCGTAGCTGCAACCTGATAAATGAACACAAAACGCCGGATTTACGATCACATAGTGTAATACTCTCGCATGCACGCACCAAATTTTGAGTACTCTTGTGTTCAATTATCATCACCGACATTAATTGTACAATAATCGAAGAATCTAGCTGGGATTAAAATTACAAACAGAAATGAACAAGTTGCATTCAATAAGATATATATATATATCTCTATACATATGTATATATAGAATTAACCTCATTTTGTTTTAGTTTTCACATCTATATATATATATATATATATATATAGGTAGGTGTGTGTATATGGTCCCAACAATATTAGTTGAATTGATTATTAATTCAAAGAATATTCTTCTTCTTTGCCAAACCCCACTTGCCCCTCTACGGCCCTAACCCTAATCGGATCCATTAGATATATAGGTAGCTAAAATGATCTAATACCTATTTTTGATGCTTTTATAATTCATGTGCATATATATATATATATATATATATTTAAGCAGAAACTATTTGAATTAATGTTCAACGATTACATCACGGATCTTATATATAATTATAATATCGCAGAGACGATCAGTGGATGTTATAAAGGAAAAATTTAACAAGGTGATTTTTGAGAAATTTGACATCAAAACCATAATATCTTCCCCATTATCAAACAAGTTATGCATAGCTGATTTAGGATGTGCAGCTGGACCAAACACTTTTATATCCATGCAAAATATACTCCAAGTCATTAAATCCAAATACCAAGCTCAGTTCCCTACCTCTTCAACTCCTCCCGAATTCCTCATATTCTTCAACGATTTGCCCACAAACGATTTCAACACCCTCTTCACTTCTCTCCCAAAACAACTCAACTATTTTCCAGCGGCCGTGCCGGGATCTTTTCATGGCCGATTGTTTCCCGAATCGTCAGTCCATCTTGTGCATGCTGCTTGCGCAATGCATTGGCTCTCTAAGATGCCGGAAGAGTTGGTGGATGGAAATTCTCCGGCGTGGAATAAAGGGAGGGTTCACTATACAAATGCGGTAGAGGGTGTAGGTAGGGCATATGCTAAGCAATTTGCAGAGGACATGGAGAGGTTTCTGAGTGCTCGAGCGGTGGAGATCGTAAGTGGAGGGATGATTGTGATAATCATGGCTGGCGTCCCACATGGGATGCCTTATATTCAACTCCCAGCTGGGTTGATGTATGATTGCATGGGATCAATTCTCATGGAAATGGCTACTCAGGTACGCTCTTCCCTTTAATTTCTACCATCTCTCTCTCTCTCTCTCTCTCTCTCTCTATATATATATATATATATATATATATGTAAAATCAAAATTAACTTCTATTTTTAGAACATGTCAATTTGTTAATTTGGTTAGTACGTTTTTTCTGGTTTCATCTTTTTATGATATTCATAATTGAAGTTAAAATTGAAAAATAATTTTTTTCGATACAAATTTATTCCTACATAGATTAAGTTATATATAAATACTAATCATAATTTTACTAGAAAATAATATTTAATGAGGAAACATGAGAGTATAACCCAATCCGAACCTCCAAACTTTTATTCAAGAAGGGATGCACCAAAGGTTTAGTTAAATACTAGTCGGTAAAATTGGAAAACATTTATATATTTGTAAAATAAGAGAACAGGTGAATTATACAGTGAATTATACGTACATTTATATATACACATGGTAATTCCAAAGGTTCTCTCATGAAGTGATCAGAACGACATAGGACAAGATAAGTACGAATATGATGATGATGTTTTGTTAACTCAAACCATTGTTTCTTTCTATAAATCTTTGTTTACTGATCAATCTCAGATTATATTCTGTACCTCAGATTCCAGGATGCCCATTTTTCTTAATTATTTTCTTGTATAATCATGCAACACCAACTTGTTACTTTTCTTTATTATATATATATATATATACATATTGATGGCTGTATATAATAATTTTTAGGGTTTAGTGAGTGAAGATCAAGTTGATGGGTTCAACTTGCCACTGTACGCTGCGTCCCCAGAGGAGATGTCAGATCTTGTGGAGAGAAACGGGGAGTTTAGCATTGAGAAAATGGAGTTAACAAATCCTGCTTCGTGGTTAAAAGGTCCAGTAGATATAAGAGATTGGGTGATTCACATGCGAGCTGTACTGGAGAAGCTTTTTACCACCCACTTTGGAAGTGAAATAATTGATGAATTTTTTGAACGCCTGGTTAAAAGTCTTTCTGCCATTTCCAACCAGATTGAATCAAGCTATAGAGAAGGAATTCAATTACTTGCTGTGTTAAAGCGTAAGTGATGCTCCATTAATTACATGATCATATTGTAATCCACGTTTTAAACAATTGTTGATGGAATAATGCACCTGCAAACATCTTATATTCAATGCTTATGTGTGAAAAATAAAAATTTGATGTTATATATGGCATTTTGGTGATGGTAAAATATGAATTTGGATTTACTTTTATATTTACTATTGTAAGTTTATTAAGATGAATTAAACTACAGTTTTTATCCACTTTATATGGATAAAATTTTATATTTCAATGATTTATGACAATTAAATTTTTATTTTATAATCGATAAAAAATAATTTTTTCCTTGAAAATGTTGCTATTTCAATCCATAAACTATATTCTTTATTATAATTAGTTGAAATTAACAAAACAACGTCCAAGTCTAGCGAACATGTTTGCCTTATAGCTGAAGTACTTTAATTTTAGTAAAACACTTTTAATTTGTTGTATTACTTAGGTTTAGACATCATTTAGAGTAATTCTTGATATTATGTGTATTTGAAATACTTGACAATTGTCTCATTATACTCGCGTATAAATAAATGAATATATAACCGTATAGTTTAAAAAATAACAAACCATCAACTGGGTTACTATCAAATTTGTATCTACGGAAGTATATAGTGGATTAACGGAAAAAAATATAATCTTCAACCTAATAACAAGAAAAATGCTAATTATAAGACTCAAGCCAATAAATTACTTGACTTAAAAAGTAATAAAGTCTATATCTAAAGAAATATTGTATTGCACGAGTCACTTTTCTTATTTGCTAACTCAAGTGCCAAAAATAATGTTATGAATATGTTAAGTGATCGTATGCTTCCTAAAACTAATTTTTAAAATCACTTATTTAAACACAAATACTTTTTTAGTTATCTCGTATTATTAAAAGACGGCTACATTAGCTGATTACCATTGTTATTTAGCCCAAAAGTTATTTTCAAATTCGTTTACCTTGTAATTTGAAATAATAATATTAGAATATTTGCTATTAAAGTATTTCTTTAATATTATTCTCTCGTCCGTATGTATATTTGTAGTTTTAATAAATAAATTTAAATATTATAAAAATAATATTTTAAAAGAATTTTAGTTTGTAGAGGGTCAAACTTAACACATAAGTTTTAAATTCTTTTATCTTTATAGAAATAGAAGTTGAAAATTCAAATTTTACTTAATAAAAAAATGAGTAAGTGTTATCTTGTATTGAACAGAAAATTCTTGAAGTATATACGAAGTGTCCCCACTCTACAAGCCTATAAAGCAGACATAGCTAGGCCCCATATGCCTGGGGTATTAAAGGCTGTTTGTTCATTTGTTTTCATCAAATAAAACAGGGTGTATTGCATGTGCCCGAACGTGAAAACATACCTAAAAACCCTAATCTATTTCCGTACTATTTTTTAACAGCATCACATGCAATCTAATGTAAATATATATATATATATATATAGTCACTGTAGAATATTTACGGTCCCAATAACTTTTTTACACGCACGTATAAAATATTGTCTTGATTGATTCCCCACAAATCCATATTAGAAAAAGACTATCTATGCAGCCAAATGGGCCTTTTTCACTTTAAACGAATATACAAAGGCTAGTGTTAATATATATATATATATATATATATATGGATGTATGTATGTATGTTTGTATATAGCTTAACAAACAAAGTTCTGTATGGAGGACATAGTTTTAGCTGTTTCCTTAAAGTTAACAGTAACCCATCCAGGGAGGAAAAGTGTTTCTACCAAAGATGAGCTTCGGGAAAATAAAGAATAAACCATATGCATGCTTATAATACATTATATATATATATATAGATAGATCTTAAACTTAGCAACACGCATGGTTTTAAGCCAATGATAGAGGTGGTCGATCGTACCCGAAGTAACCCTAGATAAAGGCGAAAGTCCATTTTATTTAAGCTCCTTAATTTATTAAGGTAGGTTGTAAAGCTTCAAGCTCCAATTAGATCTGAAAGAGATGCCTCTAACAATTTAGTTAGGTTAGGTTAAATTTTAGCCATGTAGATCAGTCGTCCTCTATGTATTATTTATTATAACGAATATTATAAAATAATAAGTATGTACTTTGTAATTATTATAAAAATAATAAAATTTGAAAATTAATCTTTTCTATACTCTAAAAGGAACACAAAAATCTAATAGTCAACAAACAGAAAAAATAGAATTTATTTTTAGTAAAGAGTACTATTCTGATTATATTAGACAAGAAGTTAGTGCTTAATACAGATAATAGATTAATTTATATTTAATTCTTTTATAATATAGTCATTTATTTAACTTTTTGAATTACTTTTATATGTTTATATTCCCTGTTAATTAGTTAATTAATTTAAAAATAAATTTTATCTTGATACACAAGAATCTAATCTAATATAAAGATAATCTTATATATTGAAAATATTAATAGATCTATGACGTTAGGGGACACCAAGAGATATATGCATACAAATGATTGGCTTTATTCTGTTAGTTAGCGATTCTTGTATTAACTAAACACCAATAATAAATATATGGCCAATATATGTAGTTAGGATAAGTCTATACCATCTTGTTCTATGTGGTTGAATGTGTCTTATTTATGTAATGATATTGTTTTGGAACGTAGATTTAGAGAGGATTGAAAAGAAAATGTTTGTTAAGTATATCTTGAGAGAGTTAAAACCAACAGGTTTTTTAATTCAGGAATCCAAATGAGAAGAAGTTGATTTAAGAGTGATAAGTCATACAACATATGAGCATTTAAAGCCTTAAATGAGGCTTTAGAGTGATTGCTTTTATGTGGGATAATAGAAATTTATATACAAACAATCAATATTAGGTCATAGGTTTATGGCCGTAGTTGGACATTTGTTTATTATTGAGTTCTAATGCATTATTTACCTGTGTAGTGATTCAATGCAATTCTAATTAGTTTAGAGAGGAGATGCATGGTCTTGAAATCCAGTTCAATTTGAGATCAACAAATTTTAGTGGATGAATCATGCTTGGTAAATTCACTTTTAATATGATATAATTTTATTTGGTGCTTTGCAAGAGAGAGTTTGACTTGTAAACTTTTCTAGGTTTTTTTTAGATTTGGCACTAGTAGACACATTTCAAGACCTTAAGCAATTGACATCCTTAACACAATATTAGATTGTGTTCTATATATATATATATATATATATATTATGGAAAACAATTTAAATTTAAAATCTTCTGAAATCTTTAACACAGTAACAAAAATGAAGAATGTAGCAAAGTTGATTTAAGAAAATTAGAATACCTATCAATGTAAAGAGTTCTACAAGTTTTTATCTAACACAAGATCAAAAATTTAAAAGATAATGTCTAGTCCTAACAAAAAAAGAAAAAAAGTTGCATTAGGTCTAAGATTGTTAAATTACATAAAGAGATTGACGGGTGCTCAAAGTCCATACAGAGTGGCCAAGCCTAGCCTACAGAGTAATATCTTAAGGGAAAAAAGTAGGATCTAAATAGGGAATTGAGAATTTAAGTATTAGTGTGTTTAGGGAAGAATAATGTGTCTTTACTTTTAAGAAAAGGGTGGGGCTTGAGGTTTACATTGAAATCTTGAATAAACAATGAGAGAGCATTTAGTAACGTAAGTGACAGCAATAAAATAATGTTTTCTTCTTGAGCTATTTGACATAAGAATTGGATTGGAGGAAAGAGAGAAGACCCACATGGTATATATATATATATATACACACACACACACATTACATATACATACATAGGGTCAGGACCACTAGCATGGTTCTAAATCACTTTCGATGCTAATAATAAGTTTTAGGTATGATCATAATGTCATTTACTTAATTATGAAATAGAGAAATATACTTGGAAAGAAAAAACAAAAAACAAAAAAGGAAATGGAGAGATCGATGTTTTAACAAGAAATTATATAAATGTAATTAAGAAAGCAAACTCAGTTTGTATATGTATGAAATATTTACACACATAAGTTATTAATAAGCCTGTTCCGTAAGCTCTATATATAATAATAAGTCCAAAAATTTTAAAGACACCCTTCAAAAAGAGTTTGCATCACCATCTCCCAGAATCAAAATACTCTAATTATATGTACCCGGAACACTTTATTTTAACTAATTAATACTAATTGATATTGTGGTCCTTAATTTGAGTATGCAATGTGCGTGTCTGTGTGCGTATATATTTATGCTTATAGTAAATTATCAATTTTGTGGTCCTATTTATGTCTCTGTCTCTTAGAACGACAATGTCTAACACAGAATAACAGCATACGAAAAGAATTTTCAAAACCACAAACTTATGATCATTTACATAAACACACTAGTAAATATCAGCTATATTCGAAGAGCTGACTGACTACTAATATTATTATGGACATATCCACCCACCTTGGTTATCCTAGAAACAAAATGCTGCTCCTTAGAGATGAAAGTTTTTTAGACATGCTGGACTCAGGCCAAATGCAACCCATGGCTTAGCTGGCATTCCAGGGATGACATATCGAAAGATGCTCTCGTTCTAGAAATGTTCCTCTTAATTTGGATCAACTTGTCATAAACACACCATGGGAAACTAAGAAAATGGTCCCGATTCAATCCCTCATTGTAGCAACCCCAATAACTAGGATGATAGGTGACGTAGTACCAAGCTGAAGCTTTTGCGTACTCATCGTCAACCCCAGAACCCGTACTTGTCTCTCTGAACCAGGACCGTGCTTCCTTTCTCAAGGACTTCACAGCCATGCTAATGCTGTCTGCATCCCTTCTTTTAGTGAACGCCTTTGACATTCCCATAATACTTCCACTAAGTATTTCAGCTTCAGTTTTTATGCCATAGTAGTCCATCAGATTGCCCAACTTGAAATCATAGTTGCTTTTATAAAGAAAAGCATCATCAATGTAATCCTCGAATCCATCAACTTTCCATGTCAGAGTCATAAAATTGCCTTGCAGCTTGCTGAGTGAAGGGCCTTACAGAGCTAGTGGATGGAGCTATGTCTTTCACCTCCCGAAAAAGCTTTCCAATAACATTGTGTGATTCATAGGTCGGTTTATCAGGCTTATCCATGAAATCAGGATATTCTTTAACATGCAGCTCCGGTGGTATTTCAGCTGCCACACCAGTTTTTGGAAAATCTACAGCAATTGAAAATAGACGAGCAAGCTTTAAACATGGTTCGCTCAATGCTCTGTCCCGCTCCTTATCCGCAAATGCAACATGAGCATTTGCAATTATTCCTAAACTGTCGTTAACTATGTAATTGGTAAAATACTCTTCGACTTCCTACATGCAGAAAAAGGAACAATAAATAAAATAACAAGCAAAAGTGATCAAGCAAGGTAATCGATCAGAAAATATAATGAGAAGTTTCCTTCTGAAAATGACTGAATTGCTTAATATATAACTACAAAAAGAATTACCTCAATCGTCACATCGTGATCCAACAACATACTGGGTGGTGGTGTGTAATCCATGGGTTCAATTTGCCTTCGAGGAATCAATTCACGGTCCCAACAGACAAAGTAGATATCTCCATCCAGATCACTTCCCGAACATTCATTTGGATGAGGTCTGAGAAGATGATGCTATTATAAGTCAATCATTCATGAACAGCTTCTATGGAAGGGCAATCAATTATTCAACCTGAGCAAAGCTATCTTATGTACAATCACTCGGAAGGCACTAAAAAAATATAATGACAATTTACACTATATACAGCATTCTATCAATGTCAAATCTCTGTTTAACACAGCTTAATCTCTAAACTCATCCAATTCACAAATTCCCTGTACTTCTGGTGGATATTCAGTAAACAAGAGCTATCTAATCATCCATTGTCCCACTCCTGTCAGATTGACATGCATCAGCATTGGTAAACATCTTATGCACAACCACAGAATTCAAATATCTAGAGATTTTGCAGGAAAGAGAGTGCAATAATTAAGTACACAATACGACAGGACTTTTTTTATTAATTCTTCAGTTTTCGAAACTATAACTAAAAAGTTAAGAAAACAATCTAAGTGCAGACCTTGAGCATTCTTTAAAAACCATAGGCAAGCTAAGACATATCATGACATTTAAAAGTTGGCATCGATCAACAGAGTGAAAGGAAGTGAAAGAGAGACGGACAGAACAGAGAAATGATCATGATGGCAGTTGCAACAGAGGCTACAATGGATACTATGATAAAAAAATGATAATTATTTAAACTATCAAACCGATTAACATGAAACAGATCTACTCAGTTGAATAAGCTCTCTATAGACTTTCTCTTGCATGAGAACATGGCAGAATATCGGGAACCTATAAACAAGTCATATCCACCACCGCCATCCAACCTTCTGCTCATGCCCATACAGAGAGACATATTTGTGCAATTTCTATGCACCATTAATGCATATTTGCATATATTTCGAATCACGTGATGCAAAGATTCAGGGAATAAGAAGTAGGGTTACGCTCTTAACATGAACTTAATGCGTAACAGCCAAAGTAACAAATAAAGTTGACACCTTCTTCCTTTTTGCGGAAAAACAACACAATCCACCATATGGTGCAATGCTGGCACATCCACAGCTTTTAGGACCCGTACATCGCCTGGATGCAAACAGGGATTTTTAGCAACAACTACATCTCCGACAACCACAAAAGACTGCTCTGATTGACCAGCAAACATGGTGGAATCACTACGAAACTGATTACGCCTTGCACCTGAAAATTGAACAAACACGTGCCCATATTCTAACGTTTTGGTTTCATCTAAGCATCCCATCATAGATCTTCCATTTGGAACAAATATCCGTGTTTTAGTCCGCAAGTCTAGCAGCTTTGAAGCCCGAAAAACTTGTAACATCATTGAAAGGAACGGTTCAGTATCAGGCTTATAACTGCACAAGAGCATTTCTTTGAGTATGTTAGTATTCTCTCCTGGAGACATACATTCCCAGAGCCTCCTGTGCCCTTAATGGATCAGTTAGGATCATTTCCAGAAGATCAATTGCTTCTTTCTGTTTTCTCTCAAATACAGAGTCTGGAACTCCAAGAGTAGACAAAAGGGTTATCAGTTGCCGATTCAGAAAACAAGGCTGATACTTGCTCCAAGTCAAAACATCCAGTTTTGTGTTTCTTGATTCATACTTCCACATGCTGTGTCTCAGGGACAATTTCATAAATGAAGTTGGATCAATAGCAACAACACCCTTGTACCCACCATACCGAATTTGGAAAGCAGATGGAATAGAACCTCCAAGGCCACATTTCTTGGCCACTTGCTTTGCAAAATCAATTGATATCTTCCCAATCCCATCAGAAAACACATATGTTTTTTCAGCCCCTTTGAGCTCCACATCAGGAATAATTCCAACATCATCTCTACAGACACTCAGTGTTTCAGTTGACGAGCTGAAGGATTGACCAAGTCTGGCAGCATATTTAGCCACATTTCTTATGTGATGAAAATCTCCCATCCACTGCGCTTATATCTGCAGCAGTGCGCCCAATTCTTGAAGCAAACATCCATGCAGAATTTTCTCTCAATTGACTTGATGAAAATGCAAGAAATTCAAATTTCTTGCTGCCAAAGACTATACCATTTTGAAGCGTTGAAAGGATCCTAGTATAGATTCTAGTTCTCTTGTTAGAAGATGTGCGAGGAGCCAAATTGGTTGAATGCATTTTGTCCAAGTCTTCATCAACAAAAGAAACCCGAAGAAAATTATCAGTATCTTCAGGATAGTTGCGTAGTACACGATTTGAGACATTAACTTCAGGACCACAAAAATAGATTTTAGAAGGTGTTATCTGAACCCTATGTATGTATACCAAACCCTTATCCAAAGATATATCAGACGATTGCGGATGATTCCTAGATGAGAGGTATTTCCTGTAATGTTCACGGAGCCATCTTGATGGTTCATAGCAACATTCTTTTAGATTATAAAGGTTCTCTAGAGCATGCTCTATACAGGCTATGTTCATTCTACGTGGATCAAGCAACTGATAAAATGTAGCATCAATTGTTGGCCCCGCAAGAAGCCCATGTTGAACCAATGAATTAATCTTAAACAAGATCTTGTATGGCAAGTTAATTCCAGGTGGTGGGCCAACTATCGGGACCAGATTCAGATTGCAAGAAAAACTATTGCCATGCTCGACATAAAATTCTCCTTCATTTTCTTTGTAATAAGCAAAGTTCTCCTGGAAATTTGGAAGTTGGAGGCTGGAAGGTAGCTCCAAACAATATGCAGAAGACTGTCCAATATAGTATGATGGACTAAAATCAGTTGTTCTGGTCCATTGGGATTCAGATCCATCCTTAAAGTAGTTGGATATGAGATCTTCACTTGTTACATCTTTCTCAAAGATCCGAGGAGCACCAAGCATCTAAAAAATTAGAAGGAAACAGAAAAACAATAACTTAAAATTTTCCCTCAAATATGACTAACCCACAAGTAAGCTAGAGCATTGATTTTACAAAGAACATAAGGATACTGTCAAATGAGAATTGCAAACATTGGCAAACATCTCAAACAGACAATAAAACCATAAATTTCTGTCATTCAATCTGTTGTATTGTTCACAGAAAACCTCAAAATATGCAACTTTTGTTCCCTCAAGAGTACAACATGTGCTTTTCAAAAGCATGGTCAGTAAACAAAAAACTTTCATTGAAGAAAAGCATCATTCAGCAAGCTACTAACTTGTGGCCACAGAGATCTATTGTTCACTGCTTATTTATTTCCATAAGTACTTCACACCAAATTTTAACCTTAAGCGTATGGTAGGAAGCGAAACAACTTCACACCAAATTTTCTTCCAATCAATCACAGCCCATATAAGTAAACTTAGCCAAGACATTAGCCACAAAGTACCACCCATTTTAGTACATAACAACACATTTAAATGTGCTTTAATATAACAAAGGACCACCCAGTCCATGGTCTCCTCTGTGTAAGTATATAAAAACACCTTCAAAGTGACTTTTATATTTTATTTCAAGACATCAAGATCCTTGAGAGAGTATGTTAATTCTGTATGTACTGAATTAGAGGGCAGTTTACATGTGTATATATAGATATATACACAGCTAAGGAGGATTAGGGTAAGTGATAAAGTATAACAAAATAAAGAGGGTAAGGGTAAGTGATAAAGTATAACAAAATCAGGAGTGACACGAACCAAGGTAGACCAAATCAAATTAGGCCACAAGAAGACTCAAGATCCCTTATCACCTCGCGGCTACTTGAGGATTCATGGGCCTGAGCTTCCAAGCTGATGGCCACAAGAAAAAACATGGCCAAATGATGTTAAAGAGCCATGGCCTTTAAGGGAGACCAAGCAAGCGGTCACGGCTTTCCAAAAAAGAACAAGCGGCCAAGACTGTCCAACACATGATCAAGGCGGTTTGGGCTATAAACCGCACACACATGAAGGCCAACAAGCAAAATAAGGTTTGAACATGATGAATGATGGACTTGGGCCACTTGAAAAGAGTATAATGATGCCTAGTGGGCTAACCACAAGAGCAAGAGCCAAGCAGCCCAAGCAAGTTTTCAAATTATTTGTCCAAGGATGGCTCCATGCAGAAGAAAAGTTTGGGCCAAAGGAAGAATCCCCCAAAGGAAAAGTATCAAGCTCATTCAGCCAAGGAAGATCTCAGGCATGCATCCTCCTACAATTAAAGAAACATGGCTGAAAGACATGCATGGAGGAGAGTTCCACCCGTGAGGGAATTTCTCTCCCATGAGAGATTTTCTCCACTCTTCCTCTCTTCATCCAAATCAGCAAGGATTCCTACTTCAAGTAGGATTTATGGCTAAATTTCCTTAAGGAATTCAAATACATCCTTTAAGAGTCCTAATTAGTTTTTCCTCTTCATAAATTAATATTTTAAAGAAGTTGAAATCATGTTGGATGTGTGAGAGCTTAAGGGATAATATTTTCTACACAGGCCGATTCATATAAAGGAGTTCTTTCTCTCATCCAACATGGCTGGAATTTATCTTTATCTTCAACTCATCTTCAAACACTAAAATTCATTAAATAATGGAGTCCAAAACTGAGAAAAATAGTCCAAGATAAGGCAAGCTCCATTCGGCCACAATCCTTGAAGATTCAAGCTACTTATCAAGAGAGACGAGTTTTAGTTTATCTTAATTTATGTGTCTTTATTTTAGTATTTTCTTTAAGTATCCTAGATAGGAATTTGAGATTTGTTTCCGAGATTTTTAGACATTTGAGTTCTATTACAATTTTTTAGACCAATGACAACAAAAAAGCCTCACATCTTTGGTTGTAATTCAATTCAAGTTCAAGTTTAATAAAATAAAATGGCTTTTGCTCCGGTTGGCTATTGAGTGCTCTTTGTGAAGGTTTTCTTTGATGTTCTTGTTAAGTGAGGAATTAATTCTACTTATTAAAATAACTCTTGTGGCGTTTTATCAATTCTTATTCTTTTTCCCAATTACCTTAGTTTACAATCACAGGTTGATTGTAAGTTAAGTAAGGAGAGTATTTAGAAATTAAGTTTTTATGTTAAACTATATATTTGGGTTTTTGATCACATTGGTTGATCTTGGCTTTCGCATTATTTGGTATCAGAGTTTACTTTAAATAAATCTTACCATCTTGCATAATCTATCCTTTCATATTTGTTCCATTGGTTATTTTTTGTATCCGTTTATACTCATCATACAAATAAATCAAAAACAAAAATATCATATCCATAGTCTTTTCTTGCACTCTAAGTTTCCCTTTTTTTCACTGTATTTTTGTTCCATTACATCATGAAATAACTAATTAGATTGTAACTACTTAACATAAAGATACAATTACACATATTCTTCATCTGTATGCTTGAACTCATGCTTCTAGAAGTTGTATTGCTATTTTTCTTTTTCTAGAATTCCTAACAGTGTCAGAAGATAATCTTGAGTATCTTGGTTCAAGAGTAATCAATTCTGACGCTCAACTTGAGGGAAGAAGATTAAAAGTGAGCGAAACACGAGAACATATGTGAAGAAGTATTATTTTCTACTAACCTTTCTCGCAATGAGTATTATTTTCATAATGTCTTAACCAAGTGCAAAAATTGAGCCAATCAATAAAAGACTCTACATGGAGGCCATGTTCACACAACTTAGTACAACTATCAGTAATCTATGGATGAGAATAGAGGAAGGAAGGCGAAGCAACGCTAGCCCACAGGCCATTATGTTCTTCATCCATTATCATAGGTTTTTTATCACATCGGTTGATTATGAGATTTGCATTAAGGAGAAATCCTAATTTTATCCTCATCCATTACATATATATATATACACACACACACACATAAACAGACACACAACTATACAGGATGAGGGTAGGTGAAAAAAGCATGTTCTTCCATTCTCCCCCTCAAATAGATGAATGGGCGTTTTCGATTCCGAACTTGTAACTAAACTCTGAAAAACTACATTGGACGGCCCCCTTTGTGAGTATATCTACTAGTCGACTATATATGATTATCAACTTCTATATGCTTTGTGCAAAAATGTCGTCACAATATAACCTCATTGAACCTCACTTAATATTCAAATCTTCCAAAATTATCTTCAATCATAGGAGCTCACAAATTTCAAGTGCCATTCATATGAATTCTGCTTCTTCACTTGATCTCGCAACCACTTCTCTCTTTACTCCTCCACATAACTAGATTTTGACTTAAGAACATCCAATAACCGAATGTTGATCTCTTATCATCAACTAATCCTGCATAATCAGCATCAATATAGTCAAGATTCAATCTTTTCCTTCCTTTAAACAAGATTTCCTTATTATGTGAACCCTTCAAGTACATGATCTCCTGTGATTTCTTCACTTGATTTCGTAATCACTTTTTTCTTTATTCCTCCACAAAACCAGATTTTGGCCAAAGAACATCCAATAATCTAAGGTTGTTCTTTTATCATCAACTAATTCTGCGTAATCGACATCAATATAATCAAGACTTAATCTTTTCCCTCCTTTAAACAAGATCTCCTTACTATGTGAACCCTTCAAGTACATGATCTCCTGTGATTATGGAATAACTTTTTATATGACACGAGAAGATACAATAGGTGGCTAGTTCTTTTCCTAAGAGTTATAGGAATATCACTAACCACATGATAATCTAATAATTAAGATCATAGTGTTCTACTTGAAAGTTACGAGATCAAATTTTATTGAGCACATAGAGATCGCCACTTTGTAAGTGTATTATGGGTTGGCAATGACCGACCTATAATGTTTGATCGAATGAGGTCAAGGACTTAACTTACCAGTTTGTTAATAGAACTGTGGTGACCAAATTAAGTTTAGACCAAGTGAGCCTATTATACTTTTGGGTGAAGAAAACATTTTAAGGCGGTTAGCTTTCCTTAACTGGACAGTCGCCAAAACCTAGCCTTTTTATAAATTTTAAAAAAATAGTTATAGGGATATCATACTTGTTTTCTTTTTGGGTAACTAGAATATTAGAATTGTGAGAAGTAGTTGAAGTACTAATCTCAACAATCCTCATGTTTGGATTAGATAACTGTACTTGTGCAATGACCATGTCTTTCTTGAATAAACCTTATCAAAAGACTTAAGATGAGTTTTCTATGGTTGGAGTGAGGAAGAGATCACCTTTCTTCTGAAACCTCATGGATAGCAGAATTAGACCGGATGATGTGCACATAGACAAACTCAGACTAGACATGAATGCAAATGGATGAGACTAGCTTAGACATAGGCAACTCGAGAAGAAAAGAGTTAGGATCATTATCTTCCATGTATGAGATCTCCCCTTGAAGATAAGGATCATGAAAGTATTGATCACCATCAAAAAAGGTGATGTTAGCAAAAATATGTAGTTTATGTGACACGATGATAGTATTTTTAACCTGTTTGAGTAGACGAGAAACCAGCAAAAATATATTTGAGTCCTTTATTTATATCCTGTTTGAGTAGACGAGTAACCAGCAAATATATATTTGAGTCCTTTATTTATATCTTGTTTGAGTAGACGAGTAACCAGCAAATATATATTTGAGAGTCCTTGGATCAAGCTTGGCCCTAAGCTGAGATGAACATGAACACTGGAACACAACCAATATTTTGAGGGATAAGTTTGTTAAAGACATTGAAATGGGATAGAACTCTGCAAAGACTTGCGTGGGACTTTGACAATCAAGCATCCTTGTGGAAAGTCTATTTATGATGTGAGTTGCAGTTAATACA